ATTCTCGACGCAGTGTAGAGTTCCCTCGAAAGGGAACTATCATGTCTCTGGCATTTTTCTTCTCAATATGTAAGCAACACTTTGTAATTACTAATGTGATGCTTAGATTGTGTATTAATATCATTTATTTGAAGTATTTGTATAGTTTTATCTTACTTTGAAATTGTCATTTACTTCTACATGGGATGTTCCAGAAGTGGGAGGAGCCTAACTATATAAAAGGGCTTCTGGTAGCCATTTTGTGGAGTGTGTTTTTTGGAGTGTGGCATTACTCCTTGTATTTTAGGCCTTGATATTGGCATAGCTGGAATACAGACTGCTAGATTTGCATATTTATTTATATAGATATATATTTATTTTTGCCTTAGTTTGTTTTGATTTGTTTTTCATTGTATATATTTTTGCTGGGAATCACGATTTTTGCACCAAAATAAACACCCTGGACTGAATTATTCTACATCGTCATTGATTTTACACCTTCACCGCCGGTACACCTTAACAACAATAACAACAATAATAATAATAATAATAATAATAATAATAATATTAATGATAATCAGGTACATAAATAACTTAAGGCATAAGTTAACGTAACAAAATAACTAAAATAAACCACCTGTTGCCCTGACGACAGCTACTAACAGGATAGTTTCTATCCCTGGGCCAAGTATTTTACTTAACTCCAATAAGAATTAAATTACCTGATACAGTATACCTGTCTTTCACTCCTATTCTAAAAACTGTACACAAATGTAATCGAATAAAGTAAAATGAAAAAGTAAAGTTTTATTCATTTTACTTTTGAAAAGTAAAATGAATAAAACTCAAATAAAGGTACAAACACAACACCCATTATCCCCATCCTACTCACACATGCATGCGTGCAACACACACAAACACACACAAACACACACCAACCATGTTTAATAATGATTCAAAAGGAATCATACACATAGTTTTAAAACATTTTAAAGATAGCTGCCATTTCAATTTTAAGAAGCTGGAGGGTTGTCACTTCCTGGCTTTTTTTCCCTATAACCTCGTTCCATCAGCACAGCCCTCCATTCATCATATGATTGAGTCTCAGACTCTTCGCAGTACCAGTTCCCAAAGTACTGGAGATGTGTTGGTGGCTTTCTCTCCTTATTGCACTTTTTGCAAAGAATGACGTCTGTCTTTCTCACATACTTTCTTGTCACTGTTCCAGCGCTCTCCCTCTTCTGTTTTCTCTTCCTATATTGCTGTGTGGAGTAAGGAACCGATTGACTGGATGTCTGTGTTTGAGCTTGTGGTGTCATAGCTGAAGGTAAGAAGAACATCACCTGTGAGGTACCAGGCACTGTAGGAGGCTGCACAGGTGGTAAAATGAAAGGGAGAGAGACAGGTGGTGCTGGTGCAATAGGGACAGGAAGTCCTTGGTGTGATGGTGGAGCCTGGAAGATGGCCTGAGGTCCTTCATGGCAAGGAAAGAGCTCAACATACTCCCTAAAACTCTCTTTGTTGTGGGCATGTTCTTGGGAGTCTTTGCTGCCTCCTGTGGGGTCCCTCTTCATAGCTGCCACCAGGTAAGCTGCATACCCCAGGGCATTTTCAGCCACCCACTTGAATGTTTGCCCTCGAAATACACCAAACTGGATTTCAAAGAAACCCAGCAGGTGCTTTCTGTTAGCTGGATCTCCATGGTGCTGACTTAAGCTTTTCTTGGCCTTGTCCAGCACTATGTCAGGGGACAGGGGTCTTGCGTAGGGCTTTCCTTTGTTGGCCTCCTTCACCTTTGCCGCTTCCATTGTATCAGTCAAATTCAGGCTGCCATCAGCTCGTCTCCTGAAGCGAGGTTCCATCTAAATAAAAAACAAATTTTTTTTTTGAAGATATAAAGACTATAGAGAAAGAAACAGACAGATACATTTGGTAACACATTAGTTAATACAGCCATGCATATTATATTACTTTACTCATGATCACCTTGTAATGTTGATTATATAGGCTATTATGCTTTGTGTGTCTATAGTTTTCTAACAGGCTTAAAGTGTTGATTTACACATCAGAATCTCAGAATGATCCCAGAGTAAGAGGTCATTTTTTCAATAATTATTATACCATTATTATACCATTGTTATACCACTACTTTCCCCTCTTTGAAAAGTTCCATCTAAATAAAATAATAATAATTTGAAGATATAAAGACTATAGAGAAAGAAACAAACAAACACATTTGGTAACACATTAGTTAATACAGCAATGCATATTACAGTACTATATTTAATCATGAACACCTTTTAATGTTGATTATATAGGCTATTATACTTTGTGTGTCTATATTTTTCTAACAGGCTTAAAATGTTGATTTACACATCAGAATCTCAGAATGATCCCAGAGTAAGAGGTCATTTTTTCAATAATTATTATACCATTATTATACCATTGTTATACCACTACTTTCCCCTCTTTGAAATCCTTTGCTCTATTACAAGTAACAGTTAAATGTAGTTAATGCATTCAAAATGTTAGCCTACTTAACGTTAGCGAAAACAAGTTAGTTTAGCATCAAAATAAAGTAAAAGTACTAAAAGTAGAAGCATAATGTACACTATATATTAATTGAATTATAATTAGTGATGCCTTAGTGTAACAATCATTTTAATGTTGCAACAAGTAAAGCTGTAGTAAACTGTAACGTTATATACTTTGTTCTGCTTGATCGTTTTATCTAAATACTTTTTTAATTATGAATTGTATTAATTACTTGAATTATTAGCTAGTCTGAGACACAGGTTATTCATATAAAACAACTATTTGGCACTTTACTTTTATTGACAAAAGACTGACTTACTTTGCGACTTTTGATCCGAAGTTAATCAATGAATTGTCATCCTCTTCTCCGGTCCCAATTCGCAAGCAGGGCTGGACTGGGACAAAAAATCAGCCCTGGACACTTCATCCAGACCGGCCCACTATGCACACACACACAAACACACACACATCTATACGTGCATTAATCTGCATGTAAAATTACTGATTAGATTTTATTTACTATCAGAATCAAGAAAACAATATTAAAATAATAAACAAATAAAATGGAAATGATTTTATAAGGCTTTATTGTAACTGGTCTTAATTTATGTGCCACTTATTATTCTAATAGAATATTCTTAGGCTATACTATAAACTATATTTCATGAGGTGCATGAAAATATATGCACCTCATGAAAGGTGAAAGATATATGCAAACTCATGCAAATATATGCAAACTCATGAAATATAGTTTATATAGTATACCTATATTTCATTTATACTATATCATTTATATAGTGTATATAGTATATATATATATATATATATATATATATATATATATATATATATATATATATAAATCATTGTTAAAGCTATTAGTCAAGAGCAGTGAGTTATTTATCTTTGTCTTTTGTTCACATTTAGCCTATGACACATAAGGCTTCTGCCAGGCACTTTCAGGGATACAAATTGAAAAAAAAAAATATATGTGCATATTTATATGCAAAATACTCCTTTCTATAGCTATTTGAAAGGTATGCAAGTATGCAAAATACTCCTTTCTATAGCTATTTTTCAAGTCAACTATGTGCTATTGTCATTAAATGGCTTTCCTGAGGTAACTGTAACGTTCTGTGACATAATTGTTCTCCTGCTGTTTTATTAATCTCTTTCCGTTGTTGAAAAGCACTGATTGATATTATTTATGAGGCATATACCGTTTGATAAGTTGTAGGTTATTCATCTTATCTTTAAATAAAAAGTAACAGATGATCGGTTTACTTGATCTGAGGCGCTAAAGCGACCTGTCACGTTATATTTTCTAGCGGCAAAACGGTATTGTCTGAATTTCGTAATAAAATGGACAGAACCAGAGAGCTGAGAATTTTAAATGTCATTTATATCGATCAATGAGTGGAGGCCTATTACAGCTGGAATATCGTAACATGCTTAAACAAAACAATGCAGAAGGCTACGTGTAGCCTATCATTCTAAATGTCTCACCTCAGCAGTCAGGCGCGCCCTGCTGACATCTTCACTAAAGTCCAGCAAATAATTCATTTATTTTAACACATTTGGTGGCATCTGCCTCAAGTTATTGTCGTTGTCTTGTCGTTTTTCTCTCTCGACTTCTCGGTCCCCTTTACGTTTAGAGATACTCTTTTGACATGAATTTCGTTGCACATCATC